GGATCTTGGAGTATTGTGTTATATGGGTAAACTGTCAGGAAGCAGAGGAAAGCAGTCCTAGATACACCTGAGATCATGCTGTCCCTCTTTCCTTCCCACAGACGATTTTCATAGTTCTCCTCTTGGAGTTCTGCAGTGTTTCTCTGACAGTCTTTGTGTCCCCTTCTGTGTTCTTTGGGATGGATCCTTAGAAGAAAGATCCCAGGTCCCCAGAATGCACGCTTGAGGTTTTCACTAGCATAAGACCCATCCATAGGCTTGGAGAACAGTTGCATTTTCTCCAGCAATGGAGAAGAGTGTCTTTTTGCTATCAGACTACCCATGGGGAGAGCTGAGAGGAGGGGACTGCTATGTGAGAAACCTGTGGTGAGCATTTCCTGAAATCAGGAGAGTTACATGCTCAGACTAGACCCCTCTGCCTGTCTTTGTCTTTGAAGACGTGGTTCCTCTTCCTCTCTGTGTCCTGTAGCTCTGGTTCTAGTTCCACAGTGTGGGAAAGGGAAGTCACATGCTTGGTGTAACCTCAATGTCCTCCTTAAACAAATTGCTTTCTTATAGATCATCCATACTTGGTTAAGTATGGAGACATGTTAACTGCACTATCACATGGAAAGCAGAATCAGAAAAAAATCTATTCCGCACCCAGGATAACTTCCAAGACAGACACCACACAAGGTTTATCCTCCCTCCCCTCTGTAAGGGAGATATAGCCAGGAGCAGGGTGGGGCCTTATAGCTATCACTATGGGAAGGATGGGCCAAATTTTCCTTGGTTTCCAAGGCAGCATTTGTTTTTCTTTGTGGACCAGACAGTTTAAGGCAGTCTCTTTGAATGGTTTCCATGGGAATCCACTTGAGCAGATCAAAGAAGGGAAAAAGGAATTGTGTGAGACATGTAGATGTGGGGTTAGAATGATGATGCCTGGCCCACCATAAACTACTAATTCACAGAAATAAATTGATGACATGGCTGAAGAAAGTGTGTGTGTGTATGTATGTTTGTGTGTGTGTGTGTGTGTGTGTGTGTGTGTGTGTACGTTCACTAAATCTTGTATAATTCCTGTGTGCTCAAGGCCTTTACAGTTTCAGTATACAGTTTCAGTATCCATGAAGAGAACCAAAAGGGGACTACTGTCTTCTGAAGAGCACATTATTTCAGACAAGTAACTTGAATGGCCTCCTGCTCTCCCCAAATGTCACACAGTAGTCTCTTCTATTAATGACTGACATCTTGGAACCGATTCTAGTCTATGCACTTATGAGTACTCAGCCAACCACAATTCTCCCTCTGCAGCTTGATGGGGCAGAGGAAATCCCTTATAGGACGGTGGTAGTTTGAATGAGGATGATCTCCATACGCCTCTTTTGGTGAATGTTTCAATCCCAATGGTGGATGGTTTAAGAAAGATTAGGATGTGTGGCCCTATTGGACGAGGTTTGTCACTGGGTGTGAGTTCTGATGACTCAAAAGCCCTCTGCCTCCTGCCTGTGATCAGGATGTAAACTCTCAGTTTCTGCTACAGTGCCCTGCCAGGCTGCCTGCTGCCATGCTGCCCACAGTGATGGTACTGGACTAACCCTCTGACACTGAAAGCAAGCTCCCAATTTAATGCTTTGTTCTGTAAATTCTCTTCAGCACAGCGCCTCTTCCCAGCAATAGAACAGTAGCTCAGTCAATGTCCTGTGGCTGTCAAGGGACTTGGGGTTCCTGCTTCTTTTCATCTGTGTTATCTCTTCTTGTAGGGCTCAGGGGATAATTTCTCTTTCAGTATCTAGTTAGTGGCTCCAAAATGAGGGTGAGGTAAAGGAAATACTTTGGAAACCTTCGTGCAACAGAGAAGGGACCCCAAGCTTGGTCTAAATCGTAAGGGTGAATACATATTACATCTAAACCATATGCAGACCATATTCATGGAAAAGTACATGGCAACCACACCACAAACACCAGGTTGCTCTTGGAAGTCCCCAGCAGGCATGGTGCAACACAATTGCAGTGACTGACCAGGATACAACTTGCCTGGGAGGCAGCGATCTGGGGACTGTACCACAGCCTCCTGGAGAGGAGATGGAAAGTCTAGGAAATCCATCCATTCCAGTGTCAGGGGATTCAAGGTGACCACCACATTCATATTCTCTACAGAGCACCACTCTGTATCCCGTGTGCACTGCCCACTTTACACTCAGGGAGGATGAAGTGAGTTGTGGAGCACTACAGTTGCTGCAATCCATAAATGGAACTGCTCTAGTATTGTATCAAGTTTCCAAACACACTGAAAACGCATTGCTATTCCATAAAACATCAGCCCCTTTAAAAAAAATAAATGTAGGCATGTAGTTTGAATGCCACCTCCTGGCCATAATGGGGACTACATCAGTGAGAGTCTTGGGCCCAGTGGCGTCTATGTTTGGGTGGGAGGGAACATTGGCTGTGACCTGGACTTGAAGGGACCTTACCTCTGGAGATAAAGCAGTGTTTTTTCACTTCAGTATATTTTCCTGGTACATAAACCTTGACATCTTAGGTATATCAAATGTAAACCCAAGATTGGAGACCAATCCCAGTCTAAGGCTAACATAAAGCAGCCTCATTAGATAGAGATGGTGGAGCTCTGTGTGCAAACACACACACACATATGCACACAGGCATGCACAGAGCATGAGAGTAGATTCCATTTGTCCTTCTACTTCATTGCCCAGAAACGGAACACAATGACTACTTCTAAAGTACAGAAGGTATAAACATCGTTTATCCAGTGTGTCGTTGTGTGCCCGTGTGCATATGTGTGTGCTTCTGCAATTGTATGCATACATGCATGTGGCCAGGGGACAGAAGGCAGCCTCCGGTGTTGTACCTCAGGCGCCATCCCCCTGAAGCTTTTCTTAGACAAGGTTTCTCACTGGCCTGGAACACGCAAGGCAGGCTGGGTTGGCTGGGCAGCACACTCCAGGGATAGGCTTGCCTCCACCTTCACACACAAGCAAGTCCCACCACACCTACTACTTTTCCTGCTGTAGTTTAACTTCATTTTCTTGATGATGCTCTCTGTGAATGACACTCAGGGCCTCATGCCCACAAGGCCAGCAATTTATTGATTTAGCTGTCTCCCCAGCCCCACTTTCACCACCCGAGCACAAGCAATTTTCTCAGTTTACACTTTAAAGTACTTTCCTTCCTGGATACGAAATTTCAAACACCACAGGAAAGCACATGTAGTACCATAAGGAAATCTGTGTCTGTCGCTGGGCTTATTCCTACCCCTAAGGCACAGGGCTGTCTGCAGGGAAATCTCCAGAGAGTGAGCTATCTGAGTAGAGTCCCAGCCGCCATTGTCTGTGCGCCTTGCTGTATGTGGTGGTGAGGAAGTCACTTCCCCATTTAGGGGATGGTAATCTTTAATGTGTCTGCCAGGGACACACAGGGCTCTGCCTAACATCCAGTGAAAAGAGGATGGTTTCCCATGACAGAACTAAGCTGAAACTTTCCCACAGTGAATGGAATGATAATAGTCCTGCTAATTATTTTGTGTGTTTAGTGCAGAGTCTCAGAGCAGCCCAGCCCAGCCTAGGACTCTTCCCCTTCCTCCCTCAGCCTTCAGAGTGCTGCTGGACCTCCCAGCTTACCACACTGCCCCAGCTCAAGTATTCATTTTAATGTAAACACATTCTTAATGCTACTGTTTTCTTCTCTGCCCAGTAACATTTTCATTCCATTTCTACATGTATATTGTTGAATTGCCACGAAATAAGTAATTTTATCATTGATTTCCCTGCAAAAAATTTATTTTATAATGATCCACATCTCTTGAAAAACCATGTACTCTAAGATTGTTTTTCTAAGAAATTTCACATTTTCTGAGATATTTCTGGTTTTTGTTTGGTTTTCATTTTGAGGCAGGGCCTCTCTGTGCTATTAAGGCTGTTCTGAAACTTCTTAGCAGTAATGATCGTGTAACCCCAGTATTCAAATAGCTGGAAGTGCACGCATTTGCCACCTAACGCTGATGAAAACTGTTCTCATTATTGCCTGGCATTTGACCATTTTTCTTCATTGTTTCACAACAATTATTTTAATTTGTACATAATTTTAAAATGTACATAACTTAATAATAATTACGTTGTGTATATTCCTATGTGTATGTACACATGAATTCCTATGCCTCCAAAGGTCAGGAGAGGTCATACCTTCCTGGAGCTGAGGTATGGTCCTTCAAGGATGTTGGAAATGGATGCTGGAAACTACCTTGGATCCTCAGCAACAATAGAATGCACTCTGAACCACTGAGTCATCTCCCCTGCCAGACTGTAGACTGTTAGATTCCGTTACCATTTATAATGTTCATATTTTAAATTCCACTGTGTTTTCCCCTTGGTCAATGACCTGGAGTTGATGCTTCTTTTTTTTTCTTGTTTAGAATTTAGTTATACTTTTAATTATGTCTGTCTGTCTGTCTGTGGTATGCACATGATTGGCAGAGGCATTGACTCCTGATGGGGCTAGAGTTAAAGGCAGTTGTGAGCTATCTGCCATGGGGGCTGGGAGCCATACTCTCATAAACAGTAATGACTCTCTTGTCTCTTTCCTCCTCCCTCTACGCCTTGAGTGCTGGTATTACAGGTGAGGGTGAACATGCCCAGAGGGTCAAAGAACACAGAGCAATTTCCATTCTAGGCAATCATTCTGCCACGAGAGCTATGTCGCCAGTCCCCATACTGTGGCTTTTTAAATTCACCAGTGATTTCTTTTCATGGTATAGCATTCTCATTGAACAGCTACCAGAGAAATCAAGAATATAGCTGGGAATGTGTGCACAGCCAGGGGAGCAATAGCAGTGTCTAGGGACCACTTTTAAAAATCCCCAAATGTGCTCCCACCACATTTGTGAAGAGCTTGGGACCGGGCCGTCAGATGCTGGGCAGATCTAAGTGCTGTAGCATCCTCGAGTCCAGCCTCTGACAAGGACATCCTGTTCCTGAGAGCAAGTCTCCTGCCAGCAAACCTACCTTACATGCCCAGCTTCCCAAAGGTCAGCAACAAGGGACTAGAGGCTGTTGTTGTACTGTCTGTGGATGTGTGTGCACAGCCAATGACCCAGACCCTGCAGAAGAATCACAAAACAGGAAAAAGGTTGGTCAAAGAATCAGACACATCCTTAAGCTCAGTGCTGAAGACATAAAAAAAGAAAATTTGGAAATATAGCATAGTGTGTGGAAATAGAAATGACGGAGAAAGAAGAACAGGATTTCCCTTGCACGGAGATGTGAGTGTATGTGTCCTGATGTGGGGCTGTGCCTCCCTAGGAGTTTGGGGACAATGATGAAGGGATCCCAGAGATATCTGAGAAGCCGGATTCTGCATTTGGATGTCTGTACAGCAATGGTTCTCAGCCTTCCTATGCTGTGACGTGACTCTTAATACAGTCCCTCATGCGTGGTGATCCCAACCAGAAAATTATTTCTGTTGCTTCATCATCGCTGTAAAGTTGTTACAGGTAAGAATCACAATGGAAATAGTTTTGGAGATAGACGTTTGCTGAAGGGGTCAAGTCACAGGTTGAACCACTTTTCTAGAGTCAGAGAGATGTGGGACCTTCCTAGCCCCAGCAACTTTGGTTCCCTGAGCCAGGATGTCCTGGACCCATTTTCCAAACACAGGCTGGGAATTTCTCTGAGGAGAAAACAGAGTGAGACCCTCTGCTCTGAGCTGTGCTTCCCACTCTGTGAATTGAGAGCATCACACTGCTCATGTGCTAAGTTGGGGGTCTTTAGTGATAATACCTGCTTTAAATACCAGTCACAAGTTCCTGCATATGTGACAGACTAATGTTGATATATGCAATTGGAATTACAGGCTGGCCTTGAACTCAGACATCCAACTGCCTCTGTCTTGTGAATGTTTGCTCCATGCCCAGCTGTCAAAAATAAGCATTTCTAAAGGCAGTCTTCTTCTGGAGAAATAGGGACAAACAGTTGCTGCAGAATTTAGAGACTGATTTCACTTCAACTTTGCCTAAAACCTACTCACTTCCTTCATCTGTAAACCTGCCAAGAGCAGTACATGCTGTAGAACAGCATTTTCAAAAATACACTGAATTTTGGGTTCACTTTTTAAGAGACAAATGTTAGATTCTTATTCTGTTGGAAATTATGCTACAGTTAGCTGTACTTAGAAAACTTTACATCTGAAAATTATTCATCAGCAACTCGTTATCAAATTGTTAAGTTTTACAATGACTAGTTTGGGTATTCAAACTATCCTGTGTCAATACACGTGGAATAACTGATGTCAGTAAATGGAAGCACTGTGTCTCCATGTGGTCAGACAAATCCAGAGATGTTAGAGCAATGTCTCCACAAGGAAAATGCACAGCGCATCCAGGTGCTATCTGCCCTCTCCCAGACAAGGCTGCACAGGGCAGCTCTCCTGCTGATCACTGCAGCATGGCTTCATCCCTCTTTCATACCTCCATCCCTCCCCTGTCTTCGGAACCATCTCCACTGTCTCCACACACTACCTCATCCCGCCCTCCCCAGGCCTTTCTCTGTTCAGTGCCAAGTCACCTTCTACCAAAAGGAAACATATCATGACAATTCCATAACTCACCTTCCACACAGATCATATAATCCAAATGTCATACACAGCTGACAATGACAACATTTTCCTTTCTGTCCTATCCCCAAGCAGTGTCCACGTTGTCTTCAAGGTTCTGGCAACTAGCCTTGTTCTCTGCTCTTAGATCCACTGTTCTCCATGGAAGCAAGCACGCCCACAACTTGGTTTGTGCACGGTCTTGCTTCTATTTGCCATTCAGGACTCAGATCACATGCTAACTTCTGAAACCTTTGGGGGTAACATCACATACGACAATCCCCATCACAACTATTTCCTGTCCCCTTTATGATCTTTAAAGCGCCAATAATACACGGAATTGCTGTGATTACTGATTTCTTCTGCTTACTGACAGTTTGCCTATCTAACACGATATACAAGGACCCGTGCTAGTCTTCACAGTGCAGGAACAAGGTGTTCAATAAAGAGGCCACTATGTGAATATCTGGATAAACGTACACGAAGGAATTGATTTGTCTATTTGATATGCCATGCAACACACTGGTATTTAAGGCAGTAACAAGAGAACATGGTATGGACTTAAGCAGTCTGTGACTTCATATCCTGGAAGACAGAATATCAAACACACTAGCAATACGTTTTAACATGGACAGCCATCAGAAAGAAGTGGCTATGCCACACTCACTTCCTAGGGTTTGAATCAGTGTCTGCTGTGGACCCAGATATCTACCATTTTAATAAGCATGATTCAGTGTCTGTTGTGGATCCAGATTTCTACCATCTTAATAAGCAATCCCTCCAAATGTGATGCAGTCATGCATGGCCCATTCGGGGAAATGGTCTGATGGGGATTGCTTCCATTTCAGTCCTGGTCATTTAAAGGGACCCCTACAGGGTTCAGTCATCTGGGGAGTCTATGAATGCCATTGTTTCACAGTGTGCTGCTCTTTGCTGCGACCTGCTCAACAGGATGTGTTCCTACAAGGCATCACAGACCAGCTGCTGGTCACACAGATGGGAAGAGAAAAGGAAATGACTCACCTGGTGAGTCCCACATGATCTTGTCACTCTACTGTACTGAATATAAGGATGGAGTAGTCTGTCTGCATCCAGTCAAGTCAAAGATGTGCAGTGACATCTTCCTCTTCTTTGTTCATTTCACAGACCCTTTATACACAGCCATGTACACATCACACACACACACACACACACACACACACACACACTCACATTGGTGGCAATGATGACTCACATACTGGAAACAAGGGCTCATGTCTGCTTCTTGTCAACATTCTGCTTGTTCTCTCTGCAGTCCTGCTGTTCTTCCCATAGAAGAGACCTGATATTGATAGGCAGAGGACACAAAGTATCACTGACAAGAAGCATTTGCTTTTGGCTTTCTTCCCAGGGGTGGTCAGATAATCCAGAATTCTAGACAGATAACAAATGAAGAGCAGGTCCTCTTGAATGTACTCCCACGGGCATGTTATGGGATAATTTAAGCATCACAGTATATAATGATGACAAAGGAGTACTCCTTTAAGAAATGGGTGTTTCTGAGTAGACACAAACGCATGAGTAAATCCATTAATAAACAAAAGATAAAAGGGAAACTTTACTCAAAGACAAGCAATGCTTGTATACTAGTAACTGCACAGGGAAGTAGGTATCAGAGCAACACTTAGCAGGCGTCATGGTTATAATAAACATGGAAAGAACCATACATAAAACACCCCCTCTGTACAAGTCCACAGCAACACTGCTAAAATCTGCATGACTGGATGGGAAAACAAGAGGGAAAACACACGAGTACTAACCTTTTCCTTTTTGTGTTGGGGAAAATAATATTAGATATTTTGAAAATAATTACCTAAGTATTCTTCATAATACAAACCTTTCTGGAGTTACACATACATACCTAACTCTTCACATGTATCCCCTTCTTTCTCTCCACCGTGATCTCAGCACCTCCCTGATGGAGCTAGCTGGGAGGTAAAGGACTATCTCTATGATTCCAAAGATGCCATTGGGGCAAACCTTTGACCTGTGGCTGCCTTAGAAATTTTCCCCCAAACTGGGTGTTGGACATTTGTTTCTGTTCTCCTAATTCACTTGCAACTTAAAAGTACTGAATTTTAAACACAGCAAATATATGTTAGCATCAAAGACATTTTCATCATAGAGAATGTAATTAAATATTTTAACCTAAAAGATTCATCAATAACTCTGTCTAAATTTAACACAGACAGCTGACCACAGTGAAATGAATGTGTGGAAGCTGTAATTTAAAATCCCTGTCACTGGAGATAGCATCAGGAAATATGAAATAATTAGGAAAACTCTGCCCACTTCTCTGTAGTGCCTAGACACTGAATGGGACAACTCATTGCTGAGAGTAAAGATGTATAGATTCATCGACTGTGGCGATATTTTGTTTCTTCCATGACAATAAAGCTTGCCTGAGAATCAGTGTGTGCAGATAGCCACTAGTTAGCCACAGAAGACAGGCAGTGTTGGAACTCACCTTTCCCAACACTTAAGAAACAGAACTCTGTGAGTTCAAGGCCATCCTGGGCTACATTAGATTGATCCAGTCTAAAAGAGAAACAGAGTCAGGCAGTGGTGACTCACATCTTTCATCAAAGTGCTTTGGTGTCACACACCTTTAATCCCAGCACGAGGGAGATGGAGAATGAAAGGAATGTGGCTGGGAAAAGAGAGGAATATAAGGTGGGAGGAGATAGGAGATCCAGGCAGTCAGTCTGAGGTCTTGTAGAGACAGGATGCTCCATTTGGTCTGAGGGTTTTGTTGAGGAAAGAACTAGTGTCTGGCTGCTCTGCTGTTCTGATCTTATAGCTCCAACCACTTAATATCTGACTCCAGATTTTATTATTAAGACCAATTAGAACTCACGCTACAATCATCTTCATGTGATGGAAGATACAGGTGTCTGTTCTCCTCATACAGTCCTATAGATCCAGTGCAATACCAACAGAACTCTAACAGACTTTTCATAAACTAATGGGCTTATCCTGAAACTCACAGTGAATATGAAGAACCCCAGCTTGAAACAACCTTATAAAGGAACAAACTTGGAGGATGAACACCTGACTTCCAAACTCCTTATAAACCTAGAGAAATGTAGACAGCGTGCCTGATTGGAAATGACAATAAGACAGAAAAGAATATGAAGGGGACAGAAGAGTCACACATGTGTGAGGGGACACCTTTAGCAAAGACTCAAAGACACTTCAGTGAAGCAGGCATATGCTCTTCACCGAGGATTTCTGGGACTCTTGGTGGTGGTAGGGAGGTACAGCCCAGCACACTGACCAGTAGCCTGAGGATAACCCTGTCCCTTTGATGACCTTGACCCTGGTAAAGATGAATCTAGGATGCAGTAAAGAATTTCAGAAACAGCCAGGATGAAGCAAAGGTTGTGAGCTTATTAATCCTGTGGATAGAAGCTCACACAGAATTAGGATGGCTCCTGCATGATGGCCTGAGAGTGGACTGGAGAGAGACTTGAGATTAGGTGTCATTGCAAAGGGTATGTGAGGTGGGCAGGGAGGGAGGTACAGTGGGAGAGGGAGAAATGGGAGGATTTTTATGGCTCTAAAGTTACATTGCTGAAAGAATGTAATTCAGAAAATTTCAAGATTAAATTACATTAAAGCCTATATTCAGGTTTTTAAATTAACTATAAGAATATTTTTACTCTTTAAATGGGTTCTATTTTTCCATTAGGAAAAAAAATATTCAATAGGTTATTAAAAAGTAAAAAATGAAACTAAAAAGCAATGCTTTTAAATGTGCTTATTCCTTTTAAAGTTTCTTTCAGTAAATTAAATTGTAAGGTGATTATGTGACTTAGGCGATAGAATAGAGTGCTATCATCATCCATCTCAAGGCTACAAGTATTCTGCCCCTAAGAAAGCATAACTGCGTTTTTTATTTTCTGCTTTTGAATGCTTTTCCACAGGGAAGTCTGTGCACCACGTGAGTACCTAATGCCCACAGACAGTACCAGACTTTATGAGATCTCTCGGAACTGGAGTTACAGACAGTTGTGAACCATCGGGTAGGTGTTGGGTATCAACCCTGGATCCTCTGGAAGACATCCAGTGATATTAAAGAATGAACCCTATCTTCAGACTCTAGTTTATTTGTTGTTATTTTTAAACATTATTTGGGATGTCTTTAGGAATAGTTGCATCATATCTGCAGGTAATTTTGGCTCTATCAGTTGGCTTGAGGTTTCTTGAATGTCAGAAAAATGTAAAAATGATTACAGGGTGAGGGGCTGTGTGTTCCCTCTCATATCCCCTTCAATGCCCTGTCTTTCTGTCTTATTTTGGGACAAGCAGACCTCCCCATGCACAAATATAAATATAGACAATCGTATATCGCAGGATACAAAAGTCAATCGAGAATGAACAAATGATCTACACAGGACTAGAGAGACATCTCAAAAGTTAAGAGTGCCTTTTGCTATTGCAGAGGACCTGACTTCAGTTTCCAGCACCCATATGGTGGGTGACAGATGTCTGTAACTCCAGATCCAGGGGAACTGACAGTCTCTTCTGGTCTCAGTGGGCATCTGCACTCAAACGTGTATTTGGCACACACAGACATACAGGCAGACCCTCAGTAAATAGGGAAAATAAACCTAAAAGAAGTCCAAATTACAACCTAAACATGAATCTTGTAGCAGAATACAATTGGATGTTCAGGTTCATGAATTACAAACAAACTTCTTAGATATGGCAAACCCCCTTTCATTAAATGAAGAACTGGAGTGTTATGAATTCCATAAAGTGAGAAAATATCTATTCTTCCAAATATATGATAGAAACATATTTTTCTTACCTGGGAAAATGAATGTGGGAAATTGTATATCAGATGACAGTCTTCTTGTATCCAGAATACAGAAAGCTTCTAACGGAGACACTAAGAAAATAGACAATTCAGGAAATAAAACTTGACCAGAAGGGTGAGTAGATGCTCCACTAAGAGAAACATACAGCAGCAACATCCTTAACACTTAGGGAAGAGAGACAGGTTGTAGTAATAAGGGCGGCAGGGCTGCATCCCAGGCACCCGGCCGCCCCCACAGCTAGCTTTACCCAAAATAATTACACGGAAACTGTATTCATTTAAACACTGCTTGGCCCTTTAGTCCTAGCCCATACTGGCTAATTCTGTTATCCCGATCAACCCATCTCTAATAATCTGTGAGCACCGGTCTTACTGGGAAGATTCTAGGTCGGAGCTTCATCTCGTGTGTCTGCCCAGGAGCGGGGCATGGCGTCTCTCTGAGGCATCTGCCCCCGAGAGGAGAGCTGTGGAGTCTGAGCTCACTTCCTCTTCCTCCCAGCGTTCTGTTCTGTTTACTCCTCCCACCTATCTTCTAACCAATAAAATGGGCCAAGGCAGTTCCTTTATTAGCCAATGACCTTCCTCCATCAACAGGTGACTCTGAGGGGACTCTAGACAACCCCATAAAATACTCAGAAATAAAGACTTGTCATACAAAGACCTGGCAAGTTTGTGGAGGATGACTCTCCCATACCCACTGCTGGTGGCCATGGAAAACAGGATGATAACTTGGAAAAATCTTTTTCTGTTTCTTCATATGTTAATTGTCATCTGGCCATCACAACCCAAATATATAACCTGGAGAAAGAGGACATATTTTCTTTTAAAGACTTATTTATTTCAGTTCACAACAGCTTTATATACAAGACACTGAAATTGAAAACAACCTCAGCAACAGGCAACAGGCAAAGACTCATTTCCCAAAACCAGCATGGCAGTTTTCAACTGTTAACTCCAGTGCCAAGGGATTCAATGTCCTCTCTTGGCTTCCATGGGCAACAGGCATGCATGCGCTCTTCATACCTATATGTAGGCAAGCATATATACACATGAAATAAACTAAATTATAAAACTTGCCGTGTAGCTATACAATGCTACACTATTTAATATTAAGAATGAACAATTATCATGGGAAACAAAAGAGATAAATTTAAACATATATTCAAGATGAATGAAGGCCAGATGTCTCTAAACTCTGGTTCTATCCTAATACATTCCAGCATATATAAATTTGTCTATAATATCAGATTGTTGTATTTTTCTGCAGACAGGGTTGGGCAGTGGTTGGGTATGAGAACCTAAGTAACATAAAGAAACTTTATGGATTGGTAAATAATAATGAAACTTATACCTACCTGAGTATAAGAAGATGTCTATTGTCATTATGGGGAAAAGTGGAAAAATACAAATTACGTTTTATATTTGGTGACTTGGACTTCAGAGATTGCCCCATGGTTAACAGGACTTGCTGTTCTTACAGAAGACCTGGGCTGGGTTCTCAGCACTCACTTGCTGGCCCACAATGGACTGCATATCTGTTTCTAGGGGAAACAACACCCCTTTCTGTCCAAAGCAGCACACCCTGATCCTGAAACCAGAGCAAAAGAAACATACACTGACCCTGAGACTAGAATCAATTCACTGGCCCTGAAACCAGAGCCCAACGTTTTAAAAAGGCCAGTGAAATAAACACACTTTGCCCCTGAAAACAAAGCCACAGAAACACA